CCTCTAGGGGCGCCCTGCTCACCCCCACTGGCCTCTAGGGGTGCCCAATCCTCACTTCAGAGCCACCCACACCCTCACTGGCCTTTAGGGGCGCCCTGCTCACCCCCACTGGCCTCTAGGGGCACCCATTCCTCACCTCAGTGCCACCCACACCCCCACTGGCCTCTAGGGGTGCCCAATCCTCATCTAAGGCCACCCACACTCCCACTGGCCTCTAGGGACAACAGATTCTCACCCCTGGGCCATCCCAACACTGGTCTCTAGGGGCGCCCGTCCTCACCCCAGGGCCGCCTCCTTCTTTCTCTTCCTTCTGCCTTGATGAGGTCGCAGTTTTCCAAAAGGAAAGCAACTGAGAAAACAAAGTACTCCCCCAAATCTAGAAGTGCTTTGGCATCCTTTTGGGCAGGAGTTGGATTGGGCCTTCAATGCCATGCACAGACCCTGCACAGAACCGCTGAGGCGTTTGGAGAAGGGCTTGATAGGGGCAGACCAGGGCTTGGGAAGATGTTTTTTGGCAGCTGTGGCAAAACCAGACTGGAGAGAGATGTGAGAAGGCATTTATTAAGTATTTACTGTGTGCCAAGCACCAGGCTAAGCTCCTTGGATAGCAGTAGAAAAGTGAGATGGTCCCTGCTCCCTTTCTAGTGGGGGAGACAGCACCCAGGGAAGGGCTGAGCTGCAAGTCCGATGGGAAGGTCCCACCCGTGGTCCTTGGGGGCAGCAGCAAAGCCAGTGGGCAGGCCTCTTCTTTCATGCTCGTGCCACTGATCAGACCACACCGGTCTCTGATGTTGCACCACCTGCCAGGGCCCAGGACGTGGGTCCCAAGAACTCTCCTTTCTGGGTCCTCAGGTTGTGGGGGCCGGGCTGGAAGCCTGGCTCTTCCCCAGACTCCTGGGCTGTCTCCATCAGGGTCTGAGGGGAGATGGGGGCCAGGGTGGTGGGGAGGGGGGACTGACTTGCCTGGCACTTGCTGCCCTCCAGCTGCCCTGCCCGGGGTGCAGGGGGTGCCTGGGAGAGCCTTCTCGGGAGCATGGCTGTTGGCTTGTCTGACTGTTGGCAGGTGAAGGTTGGTCTGTCGTTCTGGTGGTGGTGTTGAGGCTAGTGGGCTCCTTCTGCCAATGATTTCTTCCCTCCACGATGGCTGCAGGGCCCAGGCTGGAAGCTGGTCTGCTGGCTTGGGGGTCACTGCTGTTCCCAAGGTTCTGGGCTACTTCCCTGCAGGTGGTTCCTGCCCTCCCTTTCACGATCTCTCAGCAAGCCCTCCTCCTTTTCAGCTCCTCTGCTGGACTCTAGAACCCTCTCCAGATGGTTGGTGACATCTGCCAACCTCCAGGTTCCTGCCCTTCTTTGTCACTGAGGTCATGTTCACAAGGCTTCCTCCCTGCCCCTCATCAGGGTGATTTCAGTAAGGTTAACCCTTTAAGGAGCAAAGCATTCATCAATCAGCCGCCTACTGTGTGCCATTCCCTGGGCTAAGTGCTTTACACAGTGGGTCTCGTTGATCCTCACGGCAGCCCTGAGAGCGGGGTGCCCCTGTGACCCTGCAGACAGGTTGAAGTGACTTACCCAGGGTCGCAGGCATTCCATCGTACTGGTTGACGGCAGGTAGGGAGTACGACGGGTGGAGCACCAGGCCTGGAATCAGGAAGACCTGAGTTCAGATCTGGCCTCAGACGCTGACTAGCTGGGTGACCCTGGGCCAGTCACTTCACCCTGTTTGCCTCAGTTTCCTCATCTGTAAATGAGCTGAAGAAGGAAATGGCAGGCCAGTCCAGTTTCTTTGCCAGAAAAACCCCAAAATGTGTCACGGGGAGTCAGGCACAGCTGAAACAACTGAACAACAGTGACAACAGTGAGATCTTTGTAGTCTTCTGCAATGGTAGAATCTTGCCCTGAAGTCTCTGCGTGTGGGAAACTCTGGAGACCCCAACTCTCTGGAGGGAATCCCTTTTCGACTTAGATTCTGTGCGGGATCTCTTTCATGAGATCCTTCTCTTTATATCCCATTTTTTCTTCAGTAATTTCTTCCAACAGCACTAGGTGAATTTGGCTCATTCGTACACGCCGTCTTCTCTTCTCACTTTTGTTCTTTCTGCTAGCTTTGTACTGGGCTGGACCTTTGTCCTGATAGGTCAGTGGTCTGACCGTACATAGATATCTAACTGACAAATGTTCCCCGTGTCAGTAATGAGCGTCCTGTCCGGGAAGATAAGCATTTTTATTTCTTTGACAATATCACTTGAAGCCATTCACGTCCAGTGTCCTCTAATTCTTTTCTTGAAGGAAATGTTCAAGCTGTATAAGAGTGTAGCTTCTTTATAGTCCATAAGTCTTTGGCCTTTCTCATTCCTTATTCATGACCCATAGTTTTTGATAAATTTCTTACCCTCCTCAGCTTACCTTATCTTTGTACTGAAGTCATTTAGCATCAAAGTATTGCAGACTTGATTTTGAGACCCTAAAATTATCCATGGCGCCAAGAGAGCCAGTGGACGAAATGAAGCCACAAGTCTTGATTCTCAGACCAGAGGCTGGGCCCGAGTGGTCAGCTGCGAGCCCAGGGCTGGCCTTGAGGTACCCTGAGCTCCCTGTAACCTCTTGTTTTATAGTGACCTTTGGGGTAAGTGGGTCGCACCTCTTCATTGGAGGATTCCTGACTCTGTTTTCCTTCTCCAGCTATAGCGCCTCAAGACTCTGTCCACCCCCGAAAAAGGAGCATGGAGGAGGAGGAGGGAGTGGCTTCAGGCTCCCGTCCGGCCAGATCCCAGGTGAGCTGGAGTTTGTCGCGTCTAGCCCGAGCCCTTCCTTCTGGACCTTAGCCCGTTACTCTCCAGCGCCAGGCCTGGAGTTAGGAAGACCTGAATTTAAATCCGGCCTCCGACGCTTCTAGCTGGGTGACCCTGGGCAAGTCCCTTCGCCGCTGCCTGCCTCAGTTTCCTCATCTGTAACAGGGACAGGAACAGCATCTCCCTCCCAGGATTGTTGTGAGGATGAAAGGAGATAGTACGTGGGGCACGCTGTTGCTGTTAGACAGGTCTAACAGGAACTGGAGGAATTCTCATCAGAGTCTTAGTAGGCTGTCTTTAGGATTCCCCAGATTCTTACGGGTTTGTTTGTATGTCAACACAATCAATGAGGATATGATGAAGAAGATTTTCATTGCTGGCTTGTGTTTTTTACATTGTCTTCATTTCTCCTACGTCCCTCCTGCTCTCCCAGCAGGAGAGCCGTCTAGCGTGAAGATCGAGAAAGAGCCGTTCTGCGCCCCCCCCTCCCCCCGGGTCCCAGGGAGACCCGACGGCCGCAGAGCGGCTTCCACTGGGGGTTTCAGTGGTAGAAGCGTGTGCGCTGTTCCCCTTCACGCTGCTCTGCAGCCCACAGCTGGTTTTTCTGGATGTCTCGTATCGTTACGCTGCGTGAGTTCCCCTTTGCACTCTCCTTCCGACCTCTCGGGGATCTCGGTGGCCTAGCAGATGGACCTGAGTTCAGATCCTGCCACAGACATCTCCACGGCTAGGTTTTCCTGTGCTCTATGATTCTTGCATCTTGTGGCCCGGCGAAGTGCCGATGTGGTCACGTCCCTTGTGTCCTTTGCAGAGATCTCTGTCCGTTGTCTCCTTTCCCTAGTTTGTTCCCACGTCTTTGCTACCACCTCTCTTTGTCAGTCCTTGGCTTCTGTAGGCATGGCCCGGGCCTCATGGCCACGTGGCCTGTGTCGGGCAGCCTCACTGGCTCCTCCTGCTCCTGGCCTTCCTCTGCGTGCTGCCAGCACATCCCACGTTTTGCTGGGCGCTTTGAAGATTCTACCTTCCTCCCTCTTGGATTCATCAGGATGTTTGGCCTTTGTGGCCCACGGTACTCCCATTCTCCAGAGTCCTTTCCAGATCCCTGATGAAGGGTCAGCAGTCATATCTGCCACTTTCTTCAGTGTTCTGCCTGGTAGTTCATCCGCACCTGGTGCCTTGAATTCATCGAGAAGAACTCCTTGTTGCCTGCCTCCTCACTGACCATGAATTTCTGTTCTTTGCTCCCCATTCTTGCACTGTCCTTCCAAGGGGTTAGGGCTAAATTATTGGAGATCATTCTCCTTCAAAGAGAAAACAGAATCAGAGTCAAAGTTGACTCCTTTGGCCTCCTCACTGTGGCCCATTTTCAGAGCTTTCTCAGTCCTTGACTGTCCTGTCCCTTCTCTGAGCCGGTCGCCAGGGTCGGTCTGCCCTTTCTCCTTCCTCCACAGTGGCTGGCCCTTGCCACCATCGTGTCCCTTTTCCACCTGATTTCTGCCCCTCTTCATCCACACGTGGCCCCTTGTGGCAGCTCCTCATGTGTCCTTCTCTTTGGAATCACTTGCGCTCTGTCTTCAGGACTGATTTGTTGAAGAGTTTCTCCACCATCTTGGGCCAGCTTCCTCTGCTCACCCAACAGGAGAAGAACTCTTCTCTGACCTTGGAAATCTGGCCTCCTCCAGTCGAAGGGGAGTCTCAGGGCTCCTGGAGGTCCTTTCTCCTTGGTCTTGGGCCCATCAGGCCCAGAAGAGCTCCCCCCTTGGCGTTTCCTCCACCTGTGGAGAGAAGCCATTTTCATTCAGGCGAGTCACTGTGGCTATGCCACATAGTGGGAATCTTCCATCTCTAGAGTCTACAGAAGTATTCCACTGTTCTAGGTCAGTGAGATTTCCCACAGTACTCTTCCAATTCTTCCTTTTGTCCAACACATCAGTCAACGAGTAAGCGTTGGTTAAGTTTCTGCTCTGTGCCAGGCACTGAAATGCAAGAAAGGAAACTGTCTCCACTCTCAGCAGAGTGATAACAGGTACGTGGATAAATATGTCCAGAGCTGATCACGGCAGAACGAGACAGCGGACATATAAAGTCGCTGAATACAGGGTAATTGATGAGGAGGCCACAAGGTGTTGAGGGGATCAAGAAGGACTTCATGGAGAAGCTGGTGCTTGAACTATATCTGTCCTGAAGGACGAGAGAGTGAACTTCAGGTCTGGGGGATGGCGAGCAAAGAGGCCCAGAGACAGGAGACACAAAGGCCAGGTGCTTTGTGTGAGGAACAGAGAGAAGCCCCATTTGACTGAAGGGTAGAATTCAGCCAGGAGAGAAATGAATGATGAGGCCGGAAGGATGGCGCGGGGACAAGTTGTGAAGAAGTGGAAAAGCTAAAAAGAGGGCTTTTTTATCTTCAAGGTCATTGGGCTCACTGGGCTTTGTTGAGTAGAGCAGTAATATGTCCAGATTTCAGCCTTAGGAAAAGCACTTTGGTTTAAAACAAAATATTTTTTCAATTAACAAGCATGTTTTCTTTCCTACTCCACCTTTTGTTCTTAAAACTATCCCCCCACTTGCCTCAGTGAACAAAAGAAAAGGGTTCCATAACAGATATATATAGCCAAGCGGAGCGTATTCCTCGGTTGGCCTTCTCCTGCATTTGGAGTTCAGAGCCTCTCGGTGAGCTGTGGGCTTCTCTGTAGTCGTGCGTGATCTGTGACTATATTGACGTGAGGTCTGCGATCTCGCAAAGCTGGTCTTTTGCTGTAACGTTGTTATTATTGCATAGCTTGTTTTCTTTGTTATAATCTTTTCATTCTGCATCAGTTTATATAGGTCGTCCAGGTTTCTCTGAAACTGTTCCCTTCATTATTTCTTTTTAAAAATTCTCTTAATTCTTAAAATTTTTTTTTTGCATTTTTAAATGTTTTTGTTGATGCTTTTGTTTTTTTATATCATCATACTTTTCCCCAGTATCCCTTCCTTTCCTCCTCCCAGAAAGCCGTCCCATGTAATAAAAAATATTTTTTAAAGACAAAAGAAAAGAAGAGAAGAAGAGGAAGAAAATCAGCACAGCGGCTGAGTGCAGTGGAGAGGCCTGAGAACAGAAGCGGCGGTCAGCACGCGTGGAGCTCCCCCCTCTGTGAAACGGTAGGCTGGAAGCACCCCTAGATCTTCTCTTCTCAGCCGCGCTTATTATTCATCATTTTCTGGGCAGCCATTTTTCTGTGTTTATTTTCTTACTTAAATAGATGACTATTTCAATTGCTACAGTGCCTGTGTCAACTCTTTTCTTGGCTTCGTTCCTTTCGCTCTGCATCAGTTCATAGAGATCTTTCCACGCTTCTCTATTCATCACGTGCATCATTTCTTACAGCACAGTCGTACCCTGTCTCACGTACCACATTGTGACCAGCCATTCCCCTCTTGATAGACATCAGCTTTGTTTCCGTTCCTCTGCTTTCACACAAAGTGCTGCTGTGATCGTTTGGAGCATGTGGGGACTTTTTTTCTTACTAGTGACTTTGTTGGGGTGTAAACCCAGTGATGGAGTCTGGTTCAAGAGTATGAACTTTATTTGCAGAGTTCCAAATTGTTGCCCAAATGGTTGTACCTTTTCCCACCTCCAGCAGCAATGTGCTACTGTGCCCATCTTCCCGCAACCCCTCCACTGTTGCCTGGTGTCATCTTTTGTCATTTTTGCCAGTTTGCAGAGTATGAGGTGAAGCCTCAGCGCTGTTTGGTTTGCGTTTTTCTCGTGTGTCCATTGGAGCATTATTTCTTGTGCTTGTGAATACTTTGACGTTCTTCTTTTGAAAACTGTTTGTCGCTGTCCTTTGAGCATTTATCCAGTGAGGCGTGGCTCAGTCTTATGTCTATTCATTGTTTGTATGTCTCGGACACCAAACCCTCATCAGGTAAATTTGATGTAAAGATTTTTTTCTCATTTGACCACTTTTTTCTTTTCCCAGGAGCTTTCACGTTGTCTGTGCGTGAACTTTTCAATTTCATGTAAGGGAGTTGTTCTCTAACCCTTCTGTCTTTGCTAATCGCCTGCAGCTCTCGTTTGTTTAAGAGCCCATCTCCTAGTCGTGGCTGGGGGAGGTATGTCATCGGCTTTTCTTCCGTTTTTTGGTGCTATGAACGTTAACATTGAGGCCACCTGTCAGTTTAGAACGTGTTGTGGAGTGTGGCGTACCGTGTTGGTCTAGGCCTCACTTGGACCCTACGGCTTCATGGTTTTCTCGGCAGTTTTGAACAAATCAGGAGTTTTTTTCTAGGTAATTTGTCATTTCCGTTCTACCAAACACGGGGTTATTTTGTTCCATTGTTCCTGATCGTCTCTTTCCTGGTCTATCCCATTGGTCTATTGCTGTATTCTTTATTAACCAATACCAGCTGGTTTTGACAACTGCTGCTTTGTGATATAATTTGAGGCCTAGAAATGATATCCCTTCTTCATCCCTCCCTCTTTTTATCATTTCCCTTGATAGCTTAACTCAGGCCCTAAGGCCACGTGTGGCCTTCTGAATCTTGTAAAATTTGGATTTAGTCAAAAGGCCACTCCTAGGATTCAGAAGGCCACACGTGTCCTTAAAGGCCACAGGTTCCCCACCCCTGGTCTAAATCTTTTGTTTTTCCAAATGAATTTTGTTACTATTTTATCAAGTTCTTTAAAGTTTCTGGTGCAGCTAAGTGGCACAGTGCATAGAGCGCCGGGCCTGGAGTCAGGAAGATCTGAGTTCAAATCCAACCTCAGACACTTACTAGTTGTGGGACCCTGGGCAAGTCATTTCACCCTGTTTGTCTATAAAATGCGGGTCATAACAGCGCCTCCCTCCCACGGTTGTCACGAGAATCAAATGAGATACTGTTTGAGAAGCGCTGAGGAGCGTGCCCGGCGCATAGTAGGTTCTGTTAAATGCCAGTCATCGTTGTGGTTAGTATCGTTACACAAAATGCAGTTGAATTTTGATGGCTGATCGTGTAACCTCCAACTTTCCTGAAGTTCTGCATTGTCCGGATTCCTGCCTTTGTGGATTTCTCCGGATTTTCCAAGTACACCGTCGTAGCATCTGCAAACAGGCCTAGTTTGAGCTCTTCTTTGCTCGTCTTTAATAATAATAATAATGATAATAGCCAAAATGGATGTAACGCTTACTATGTGCCAGGCACTGTGCTAAGCGCTTTACAAATATCACCTCATTTGATCCTCACAACAACCTTGGGAGGGAGGCGCTGTTAGGATTCCCGTTTCAAAGATGAGGGAACTGAGGCAAACAGTGACTTACTCCAGGTCCCACAGCTGTAAGTTCTGAGGCTAGATTTGAACTCAGATCTTCCTGACTCCAGGCCTGGCCCTCTCTCCAGTGCTGCTGCCTGCCAACCTATCATTTAATTCTTTGCACCTTTCTTTCTCTTGTCTTATTGCTAGCATTTCTAGAACTATATTAAATAAGAGTGGGGAGAGTGGGTATCCTTGCTTTACTCCCATATTTAATGTAAAATGTTCTGCTGTATCCCCATAGCATACAGTGCTTGCTTTTGGCTTTAGATAGATGCTTTTATTGTCTTTAAAAAGGGCCCTCTGTGTTGTGCTTTGTCAAAGGTTTTTTTCTGCATCTATTGAAATTATCATGTAGTTTGGCCACTATTAAGGATAAACGGATCAAGGAAAGGGTTTTTTAAAGATGAGGGAGATGTGGGCGGATTTGTAGGTGGCAGGAAAGCCGTCGGTAGACAGGGAGAGCAGCCAGAAGAGACATCTTCTGGGATCCCTTTGCTTCGACAAAGGGGAAGGGCAGCTGGGCAACACGGAATGAGGAAGAGGAGGGCAGAAGTGCCACGCAGGGTGTCTGCTGGGACAATGAGGGCCAGGGTGCCTTTGCCCCTTGGGGGGCTTGAGGACAGCGATGACAAGGGTCAGGGGGAGAGCGGGTCACAATCACGGAGGCCTAAAAGGCTTCCCCACAGCAGTGAGGGCCTCGAAGGGGCTCCTGAGAGCAGTGTGCCGCTGGGTCTCGGGAGTCCTGGTGAGGGATTGGCTCTCCAGCGGGCCAGGGTAGGGAAGGGAGGAGAGTGTGGCCACTACAGTGATGCTGGCCTGAGAAAGGACGGAGGGGTGGAGGGATTGGGGTCATCAGGCGAAGGGAAAGATGGAATGAGAAACATGAAGCGTGGAAGCCGGACAGCCGAGCGTAGCAGCAGGATCAAAGAGGCCCTGTCTGAGTGTGGCCGAGCAGGGGGGGGGAGGAAGAGGGTGTGGGGAACGAGTAGATGGAGAAGCTGAGGAAGGCCTGGAGCCCGCTGCTGGACTCTTCGAGGAAGGGGAGAGAGTGCGGGCGGTGGGTCTGTGGGGAGCTCGGAGCATTCTGGCTCCTCCTCTCACGACCAGTGGTAGTGACCTGGACGCAAATCCAGCCCAGGAGACCGAGAGGGAGATGTCCAGTCACCGTCTCAGTGCTTCCGGCAGCTATGTGAAGGCAGGACTGGGAGTCAGGGAGACTTGAGTTCCAGTCCTGTCTCAAACACTTACATGCCAGCTATGTGTGGGACCCTGGGCAAGTCATTTAACCTCTCTCTGCCTCATTTTCCTCAGCTGTAAAATGGGGATAATCATAGCATCTGCCTCGTGGGGTTGAGGTAACGCTTGCAGATAGCTCGCTTGCCGTCTTTTCACCTGAATGATTGTACAAAAGATAAAACATGGCTACAAAGATTAGCCTACCTAGCTTACGTCTCGTAAAAAAAAAAATTAAGGACCCAACGCATCACTGGGGGACTACTACAGACATCTGCAGCATTCAGGTGGAAGGAGGAAGTGGGAACCACACAGTGAGAACAGTCCTGACTACTTTTTGACATTCCATAATGTCTTATTAGAAAGTGAACAAGCAGCGAGGTGGCACAGTGGATAGAGCACCAGCCCTGGAGTCAGGAGGACCTGAGTTCAAATCCGGCCTCAGGCGCATGACGCTAGCTGTGTGACCTTGGGCAAGTCACTTAACCCCCATTGCCCAAAAAAGAAAAAAAAGAAAGCGAACTAACATTGAATCCGGCTAGAGACATCAGTGATCATCTGAAATTTTTAGAATGACTTTCAGTGAACGTTCTCCTGAAATTTCTAAAACATTAAATTGGATTTATAACCCATTTGATATGTCTTCTATTTCTCTAATTGGTGGATTGAAAGTGAATGAAAAACAAAATTTAATTCCCTTGAATTTTGGACTACAAACATCATTCAGAAATGAAACCCTTATAAATTTGTTGCTAAAAATCAAAAAGAAAGGAATTTTTAATTTCTCAGTGAAAAAAACACTTGTAAAATTCTCCTACCATTTTCTACCACATATTTGTTTGAGTATTTTCATTTTATTCTTGTTTTAAATATGAACCCTGAGAGTTCACAATATATTTTGATGTTGTTAAAATGAGTTTGAGAACCAAAAAATGTTGTGAACCACTGAGGCACAATATATCATTGATAAAAATGTTAAGCAGCCCAGGACCAAACCTGGATCTTTGCTTTTTTCATTTCTAAATTTGATCATTTGAATCTTTATTCTTTTTTAAAATGAAACTTACTAACTTTTGATCAATTTTATTGGTCATTTCACAAACTTATTTTTAATTGATTTTAAGTTTAATACTGTAACTTGTTTTATATCATCTTCATTTCTTAATGCCTCTCCCTTATCCCCTATTTTTAGCTAGCCCTCCACTGTCTTATTAATTAATTAATTAATTGATTTTTATTTTATTTTTGTGAGGCAATCAGGGTTAAGAGACTTGTCTCAGGGTCACAAGGCTAGTAAGTGTCAAATGAGAACTCAGGTCCTCCTAACTCCAGGGCCGTGCTCTATCCACTTCTCCACCTAGCTGCTCCATCGTGAAAGAAAGAAAGAAAGGAAGGAAGGAAGGAAGGAAGGAAGGAAGGAAGGAAGGAAGAAAGAGAAAGAAAGAAAAGAAAAGAAAAGGAGGGAAGGAAGGAAAGGAAAAAACAGATAAGACAGTCCAGCCAGACATAATAATTTTCCAGCTACCTCTGAAAATCAGGGGCGACAGGTCCAGGCTTTCTTCCTTGTATAAATTATCTTCTTGTTTTTACTTCCTGCACGCACACATCCACATGCACACATACACGCTTC